AGAATTGTAATGTGGAATATGTAATATTAAACCAAGAATGTCCCAGTGAATATAGAAGGAAAGGAAACTTTAATTATAGGTCACTGCTATGCAAGTGAAGTAGAGTTTCCAGAAACTCTTCTCCTATATTTGTTAAGTGAGATCATGGTGTGATAGAATGGACAATCAAGAATACTTTTAAATTAAGATTTTACATTATTAATCATAACAATGTCTATTCAGTAATTTTGTACTTTGAGTTTTAGAAGTTTAATTTATTCTGTTTTTAATGAAAGCTGCATGAGGTATACCTGATATTCAGGTATTAGTATTGAAATGGTGTGGATAGATGAGCATTGTATTTATGTTTCAGTATGTGATTTGTTCTGTTTGTCCATAGGACAACTATTTTGGACATGGTAGCTGCTAATGATGCATCTAATTACAAATTGTGTTTGTCAATAAAGTAATATTTGGTAAAATCAGAACTTAGATTACTTCCATAAATTATTTTATATCTGAAAGTGCATCTTATTCAAACTAGCTTTCTTCACAGTGTGTGTATAGACACATTTCTAAATTCATATTATTATATAATTATTGGAAATGGTGCCAGGTGGAAATGCAGGTTATGAATTTTGTACCAACCAATATATGTGTATATTAGTAAATCATCTGGAGATGTCAAACAGGTTATGTGTTGTTGCCTGTGTTTGCTGTCATGTAACTCTCACATAGCTGATATATTTGGTTGATGTTACCAGTTTCTTCCCAGTATATTGAAAGAAAAGTTTGTGATGAGGTTTTGCATTCTTACTGTGGCAAGTATAAAGGTGAGTGTCTTCTGGTATATTTCACAATTTTATCTGGTTGAAATATTTCAGAGGTGCTTAGTACCTGACAGTAGACATTTTTGAAACATCAATCAGTTGCTGCCATTTTGCAGGGTGCTATATCCTCAAAAATGGTCGGCTTTGAGTTTTTGTTTAGGGGGGGATCTAAGTGAAAGACTCTGTGGTGCAAAGAGTTACAACCACTTGTATTACCAGTTCATATAATTGCCAGTGCTTCTAAGAATATCCTACATAATACACAAACTTTATATAATATATTTATAATTTGATGTACATATTTTTAACATATCCAGTACTTTAATACTGAGTGCATAACTTCCTAGCCTTTTCCATCACTCATGAAATATATTTATGTCTGACATATGTTGATCACTGTAGTGTTGTATTTTACAGTTTACTGCTCTGCACAGTATAGAAAAGTGTGGAACTTGGGTAAACATTACCTAACCTGTCACAGAATTTGGGTCTTCCCTTACCGAAATCTGAAAGAATGTATTTTGTGCTTGGAGCTGCTAAACATAATTTAACTTAAACTTACCATTTATGGGCTCTTGTTTCAATTTAAAATGTGTCATTGCCGTTAATCTTATGCTGGATCTTCAAGGTGTGAATTTTAACATAAAGGCATTTATAGTCTTAGCAATAAAATATTCATGTAAATAGAATATAGAAATTAAAATTAAACTGAGAAATGCTACAGTATTATTTAAATAAAGTATGACAGTATAAAATTTCTGTAAAATTAATGCATAGACATCAAATGATGTTTCATGGAAAAACTATTTAAGGTGTTTTAACATCAGTCACTGCCAAACTGTGGACACTGTGCTACTTTCAGAACCCAAGTTTAATTTGAATATTGAAAAACATTGAAGTGGCAGTCTAAAGAAAGCTCTAATTTTTAAGTAATTCAATTCTAAGTGTAATTTTAAGTACTTTATAAAAAAAAAGTTTTGAACAATATAAAATGGATGCTCAAATCAGATTTAATATAAGAAGGGTATTCAATACATAACCTTAAAGAGTGTATCACATTTTTATTTGTTGTTTCTGCATAGTGGTTGTTATACACCACCATCTGTTTGAGTTCGACAGGGTTCAGTGTAAATTGGTTTTCACCTTGTAATTGCACTGGATTTACTTAAACTGTACTCTGATGAAATAGGACATGTTGGGCACAAGGTCTGGGCTGTATGGTAGATGGGTAAGACATCACCATTAAGACCGCTCCAGAAGTAGTGTTATGATACCAGGTAATTGGGGTAGGCATTGTCACATAGAAGGATCAGTTTCTCTGTGAGTTAGCTTGAGTGTTTCATCTGAATGGCTTCCTTCGGTTGTCACAGTGGTATACAGTAGTGATCTGCATTCACTTTGCCTGAATGTCCAGAATTCAAGAATGCCCTGTGCGTCCCAAAATATCACCAAAAATGCCTTCTGCACAGACTGCACGCTTTTGAGCATATTTTTCATGGATATATATCTGTCTACTCCTTCAGTGCTGGCTTTGATGTGCGGGTGATGTGATTAACCCATGTTTTATTGTCAGTGATGATATGGCTGAGGAACTTGGAACATGAAGGAAGATGTTGAACCATTTTGGGATTTGCAGGACATTCTCATCCATGAGTTTCTGGACAATGGAACGTAGTGAATTCAGCGAATACTACCCAGCATTAAGGCATCTGGAGGAAATTCTGTTATTTTCTGAGAGAGAAAGCGATCATTCTTTGCAAAGATGTCCATCCCGTGCAGGCTGTGTCACAGTGCAACTTTGGGTTTCGCCAAGAATGTTTAACCAAGAGTGTTTTTGATCCATCTAACAGCCCAGACCTTGCACCTCTTTATACATCTGAGGAAGTGGAAGCCAAGGTTTTGATTGGTGGGTGCTAATATTGAGCCCTGATTTTTTCTTTGCTAATTGAGAAGGTGGCATGTCCTCAGACAAATGTCTCAGTGCTCTCGTGATTACATGTTCT